TTCAAGGAAACTTTTCCCAAGTGTCTTTTGAAAAATTCACAATTGGCCTAGTTCTGGAACTGTATCACTTCTCGAAAACCTGTCGTGCAAAGATCACTCCAACATGGCTTATGCAGCTCGCTCCAGCAGAATTCCTCAGCGTATTGGAGCATTTTGAAAATGAAACTGTGTTTTTAAAACGTGTGCAGCTAGATATCAATCGAAAATTTCAAAAGCGGAGGACACTGCGTGGGTCAGCACTCTCTGACTTCCTGGACACACCCTATAGCCTGCCTGCTCCACAAAATGACAAGCCGATGCCAGATGTTCCATGCAGTAAACCCATACCAGTCATCGTTTCTGAATCACAACAAGCGAGGAGTATTTCAGCTGAAAAGCGTGCAGTGAGTATGGACTTGCAAGTAAAGACAAAAGAATTACAGAGGCTTGAGAAGGATATAGATGTAGAAACACAGAGATTTCAACAACTGACCACAAAATGTTCTCACTTCTCCCCAAAGAATACAAAAAAGAGAGAGAAACGAGCTCAAGAAACTATTGTGGACCTGAAAGAAAAGTTGTCAGAAGCCCTCAAGTGCAATCAAGATCTTTCAGAAACTGTGTCATGTTTAGGAAGCCAAGTTGAGAAACTGAACTCAAAACTTAAACAAACGGAAGATGAACTTTCACGCGTACCGCAAACTGAAATCCTACTACAAGGCAGCATGTGCTACAGTGAGAGCCAAACACCAAAAGAGAGAGAAGGACTTGGATTCAGACTTCAAACAAAAACTAAATGAAAAAGATTGAATCATTGCTGGACTAAACCACAAAGTAGCAGAAGAATAAGGTGCCTCCCTGGAATTAATAATAATATGTGCAGAAAGACAGTTCACCAGCAACATCCGGCAGTGTGTTATGGAACTGTTAAGCTTTGAAGTGGCCACCGATAAAGTGTCTCACATCATGAAGAGTGTTGCAAAACATCTATTTAATTGTGATGTTCCCCTTAAGAAACTTCCCAAGAGACAAGCAGTGTTAAACATTTCAGACGAGGCCCAGTATCTTGTGAGAAGAATGTACAGTGAGAAACTTCAAACAGCATCACATTTTGGAATTAACAAGGATGGTACCTCCAGACAAAAGGTTAAGATTCTTAACACTGCACTGCAACTGGACACAGGAGAAACTATGAACTTAGGATTCTGAAAGGTGGCGAGAGAGACAAGTGAGAAGATTTCTGAGACGGTTAAGAAAGATTTGAAGGAGTTGTCAACCATGACAGAAGATCCAGAAGAAGAGAGCCTGAAAAACATTCTATAGGCAAGCTGACATTCTTCATGAGCGACCGGGCAGCAAATAAAAAATGTGCTAATAGACTTCTGACTGAATGGAGAGATGAAGTGCTCATTGAAAATCCAGGTATTGTCCACAACTTGCATTGTATGGCCCATGTTCTGTTTGGATTCCATTCCTATTCCATGAAATCATTGAAATACCAGCTGAAATTACATGCAGAAGAAGGACTGAAATTTGGCCGTGAGAACTTCCCGCAGTTTAGCCGATTTGGCAATGACCCAGGCCCCACTAGATTAGTCCACATGGTGTCAGAGATTCTTGGACCTCTTGGAGATGAGAAAAACGGTGTCAGAGACAAGTGGCTCGCCTTCTGTGATCAGCACAACAAGAAATCCCTCATCAGCAGCTACAAGGACAACCGATTCAACGTCCTATTTCAAACATCAGCTGAAGTTCTCCACCACCGTTCAGATGTTATGACATTACTCCAGCAGACCGATCAACCCAATCTTAAGCTTCAATCTGTACTGAAGGACTTGCAAGACTCCAACCTCATGTCAATGTTGCAGCCATTTGCTGTGTTGTACGTTCGTCTGACTGGACCATATTGGGATATGGTGACAAGTGGAAACATGAATTATCTTAACCTGTACAGCGTCATCCAGCCCACGCATGACATACTCCAGGTGTGGCGAGACAGTCCTCTTAACTTCCTCCAGTCAGATGATGATGTCTTTACACATTTCCCCGCAAACAGGTTTGTTGTTTTATTTGTTATAAATAATCGTGAAATGACAAGTTTATAACTTGTTTCATATTTAAAAAAGTGGTAAGAAATCTGAATGATATATCCTAAAACATAAACTTGAGTTTCATATAAAACATATGCAAGTCATTCTTTACTTTCTTTTCGTTAATGATCAGGACAGTAAATATACAAATATACATTGGACAAATGCTGTTTCAGGTCAAGTCCTCTGCATGTCGCTGCCAAGACCCAGCCATCCAACCTAGACTTGTTCCAGCAGACGACTGTGAGCCTCCTTGATGGTTTCGTCACAGCCTGTGACAATCAACTTAAAGGATTTTTTGCCAGGTGGCATATATGCTTCTGAATCAACTGACATTGAGTTAAACAGGAAACACAACACTGCTCATGCTGAGATAGACAATTTTGTGTGATTTTTGTGTAAACAATGACATTTCTAGTGATACCAATTACTAGTAGGTTATAGTACAGTTAAATTATCATTTTATTATTCATATGTTTTGACTATGAGTATGATATTGTAATGTTTATATTGGTCATGTTTTATGGAGTACTTCAAGATTAATAAAGTAATATGAGTGTGTTTGTTGCTACCAACACCTTGCCCTCCCCTGGCACAGCTATTGTACCCTTGAAGGCCAACTTAGAGGACCTTTGGGAGAAGGCTTTGTCTCCCAGCACCTATACTGTGTACCAAGCTGGGACGACACGCATTCCTAGAGTTCCTGGGAGCCCGTGGGATGGACTGTTCATCGACTGATCCCACAAACCTCTCCGAAGACACATTACTATATTTTGTGACTTACTGCCACTACACACTCAAACTGCATCACATCACAAGATAAACTGATGAAATTGCTTGAATGCATTGTGCAGTGTCAAAATTCTCATAGGAGATGATGGATAAAATGGGGAAAGCGTTAGAATGCCGCTTTTAGCAATATTCCAGCAATATCACGGTGGGGGACACCAGAAATAGGCTTCACACATAGTGCCCATGTGGGGAATCGAACCCGGGTCTTCAGCGTGACGAGTCAACGCTTTAACCACTAGGCTACCCCACCGCCCCTATCGGGAGTAAATAAACCCCAAGCAGAAGTGGCAAAACTGAAGCAATGGCCAATATGTCTGACGTGAGTTCAGATGAACTTGAAGACAGTCACGGGACTGATGGCTTTGAGGCGATCTTAAATAAGGTGTGTCAAGATAATTCAGATCAGACATATAGCACTGTGTTGGATGCTTCATTTATGTCCGCCCTCACGACGGAGTTTGTAGATTTCTTCAGCGATGATGAGAAAACATCCAATGACATTAAACCAGAGCTTACCAAATCTGTCTGGGAAGGTTTGTCAAGACCACCCAACCTTGCCAAACTGAAAGACTTGATGGAAAAATACTATCAGCCACAGAATTGTGAGAGATTAGTTGTGCCAAAAGTAAATTAGGAGATATGGCATGAAGCAAAACAGGCAAATAAAACACGGGACATAAACATGCAGCATGTGCATGGCCTGCTTGTGAAATCTATGGTCCCTATTATTCATGTTGCGGACATGCTGATGACACGTATTATGCAACGGAAGGAGCTAGATATGAAGACAGAATGTCTGCGACTGCTTACTGGGGCCCAGACCGATATATGAACATGAAAAGATGTGTTGCCTTTAAACAAGACTTGAGTGGGCCACACAAAAGGCTGTGTACTTCAGGCATGATAGTGACAAGCAAGTATTTGTTTGGGGATGAGCTTCAGAAGAAGATTAAGGACTTTGGTGATTCCAAACAAATGGGGAAAAAAGTGGTGTTCTCCCATGAACGTCCAAAATTCCGCCCGCAAAAGTCACGTTACCAACCATACCTTAACAATGGTCCTTCTCATCAATTCCGCCAGCAGTCTTTCAAGAAAGACTACAGCTACAAGCATAAAGTTAAAGTGTCGACCAATGTTGTACGCATGTTTATTGTGTATTGCATTTAATTATGTCTGCCTTGACCCCCTGCTAGGTCTGTGAAGTGCCCCAATGGTGTTGGCAAAAAGGAGACTCACTCGCTCTTACCCGTGGTAATTGTGGGCGGTCACCTATCTCGGTTTACAGCAGAGTATGAAAAGCCGTACCAATCCTTGGGTGTTATCCATTCTCAGAGTAGGTCATTTACCACAGTGGAAGAGAGGCCCACTGGTATTCAAGGGGATTAGGCACACTCCAGTGCCATCCAGCCGGGACAAGGCGAGAGTTCTTCAAGACAAAATCATGACTAAGGATAGCGGCCTCCATCCAATACTCAACCTGGAAGTGTTGAATCACATGAGGTTCCATCCTTCAAGATGGAGACTATATGCATGGTGATCTCATCGGGTCAGCCTGGTGATTGGCTCACAGTCCGGTATATAAATCATGCAAGAAGTGTTAGGATCCAGTGCCTTAAAGAGTGAAATCATGGTTAGAGACCAACTAGGTAGCAGAGGATGAGGTTTGGGATACTTTGGTGTACTATGCTGAAATCACTACAGTAAGAAGAGATGCCATGGAGTGGACAGTGGGAAAGAGGCCAGGACAAGATCTCTTCAAGTCCTTGAAGGAAATGTAGCCCCTTCAAAAGAGTCCTACATAGCTGTCATCAAATATATCACTGCCTATCACCAAAGACCGAGTGCCTGGACCAACACTGACAGTCAATAAAACTTAAGTTGCTAACTTCAGTGTCAGAGATCAGGGCTCGATTTAGTGCTTTGTTACTTGCACTGGTGCAACCGAATATTACAAAGTGCAACCAAGTTATTAGTCTAACTTGCACCAGGTGCAAGTAAATTTTTTAGTGGGTAAACTTCTGAATGAAATATGTACATAATTCAAGAGCATATTTCTTTCATTACATATTACAATAAAGGCAGTGCAACTGGAATTCGGCTGGTGCAACTAGGTTTTTATCTTAGGTTGCACCCGGTGCAAGTAGGTTAACATCTCTTGAATCGAGCCCTGGAGATATTTATTTAAGGCCACGATCACCTGTAGGAATACATTGCTGAATTAATTTAAATTTTAATGTGAATAAATATTAAATTTTGAAATGAATAAATATTAAATATTCATATAAATAAATATCAAATATTCATACAAATATCAATTCATTACTAGTATAAACTCTGATGCATTGTTACTATAACTTTGGACGAAAAGTACTAAACGTTTTTCCCAACAGAATCCATAACTTGTACACACTATGTAGTTAACATATGCATACACTTATACACTGTACATACCATAGCATAATCTTAACATGTATAGCATGTATATCAGGTTATGGTGTCAATCATGCACATAGAATCAGTTGTGATCAATGTTGGTTTACCTGTGCCAAAACATGAACAATAACTACAACACACAATACCTGTTGTGCCATAAGGAAGATTCTCCTCTTCTGAAGAACAACAATACATGACTTTAACTGATGTGGTCAGTATAGAAGATACCTCTTGCATTTACCGTGAAGTCTATTCTTATCTTCTTCCTCATCCAATGTTTCTACTGCAGCAGGTGCACTGTCTCAAACAGTTCATCAACCATTGTATTTCAGTCTGTCAGTCAGTAGGAAATACTCACATTGCAAGAAACACTGCCGTCACACTTCCATCATATAGGTTCAGGGTATAACGTTTGCTCATCCTTTGATGTGCTTAAGTCTGCTTTAAACTGGAATTGACTTTCATGTTAGTGGTGTATAAAGCTGTCAACACAAGTGATGCAAACTAACATCAGACTAAACTGAACATCTGTATCCTGAAGGAAAAAGTGTTGTTGCCATGGCAACTGCAGTCAACTGATCAGCCTAACTATAATATAACTACCACAGCAGTTGATGAGAAGTGATTTACACTGTTTTCAGCTATATTACATCTTGACAACAAACAGCATATGTGGTCTTTACACATTTCATCCATGTAGGGAATTGAACACAGATCTTCAGCCAATAGATTATCCACAACCCTACCTCGCTGCTCTGAAGTTGACAAGAAGCAGATTTGTCACTAGGACTTCTTGGCTGTTGTTGCTTTGATTTTCCCTGTGTTCAGCTCAGATTCCACCTTCCTCATGTACGCTAACATGTCCTTATCAGTGTTGTACCTGACATCAAACCCAGGGTGCTTGTGCACAACATGTTTTCGACAGTTCCCACTCAAGGCACAAGCATAGGTACAATACGGGCAGCTGTACGGCTTGACGTCCTTGAATATATGCTGAGTGCGGATATGCTTCTTGAGCTTACCGCTGGTCCAGGGGCTGTAGTCACAGTGCGGACACTGGTAAGTGGAGTCAGAATGGATCACCTGGTGGTCTCGTAGATAGTGGCGGTTCTTAAAGCCCTTGCCGCATATTTCACAGGTGTATTTGTGTGGGTCGGCGTGGATGTGGCGAATGTGGGCCTTCATCCTGCTTGCTGACAGGGCACGGTAGCTGCAGACAGGGCACGTCTGCTCCTGACGTTTATCAAACTCTGCTTTCACGCCATGCTGCTGGAAGGTGTGATCTGAAAGAGGTACCATTGTCATAAGTCATGACTCATAAAAACAGTTCTGTCTTGCTTAAATTGTTTATTGCTGAATTAGTGTTCCATTATTGCTGTGTTCAGCAATACTCCACATATATCATGGCAGCCAGTAGCTAATCCAGTCTGGACCAAAGTGACTGATGATCAACGTCCTCATGGTACAATGACTCAAATTCAACCATGATCTGACAATAGGATCCACTTAATCACAGTAAGCTGGAACCATTGTGAAGAAAATACTGTAAATTATGAAATTAATGCAATTTGTTTTTTGCATCTGGATGCACTTGTTGATAATATTAATATCCTGTTAACTGCATGTGTGATAAATGTGCCAACAAAGAAAGTGTTTAGGAATTTCCAATTCATATGGATCTCGACATTTCCTCCCTCATATTAAGGACAGTGCTTGTTAATATGGCTACTCAATGAACAGCTAAACCTGCTAACTGTAAAACTTGACGTCACTTGCAGATGATAGAGTAAGAAAAGATGGTACAAAGAAACCTACTCATAAACTGGATCCTGTTGTTGCAAGCGTACTGGCAGTGGTCACAGGAGAATTCCCGTGTGGTACTGTGGCGGAATGCAATGTGTCGCTGCAGAGTCCACGGGTCACAGAATCCCGAGCCACAGATCTCACACAGGTACGGACGTTTGTTCAGGTGTAGTGCATTGACGTGCATTTGTAGTGCTCTGGAATAGAAGCAGGCTATATAAACCCAGCAAGACATACACATCTAATGTTTGTACCACATCCTATCACATTCACACGTCTACAATGTGGTGGACACATTACAAGATGTGTCTTAAACCTTGATTCTCTCAGTTTTGATTCCCTCTGGGAGTACATGTTATCAGATTTTCATGAGACAGCCTTAATACTGACCAGTAATTAATGGGCATCTGCTGAAACGTCTGATAAAAGTCCATGTCACCCCAGTCAAGATCCTGTTAACAAGCTAAGTCACTTACATAGAAGAATACTTACAATTTGGTTTTGACTTTTGTGGGACAGTAGGAGCATTGTATTCTGTTGTCGAAGTGTTTGGCCTTCTTGTGAGCGTCCAGATATCGGGCAGTGATTGTCTGGTAGTCACAACCCTCCACATTACAGCTGTACACCTGAAGCCAGAACCACATGACAAAGTGTAAGTATGTGTAAGATTGGTTATTGAGACCTAGAAGAATTACTTAATAGCAGTGTTTGAGTGAGAGAAGAGTTCATCGACAACAGTGTTTGAGTGAGTGGATAAGTATGGTTTAATGCTACTTTTAGCAATATTCCACCAACATCAAGGGGCAGTAGGAATGGGATTCACTAAACATGGGATGCCTTAGTTTTTAAATGCTACTATTAGGATTCTGACAATGATGCCATCACTTTCATATTTAATCGATACCTAAGATTTAACGAAATGCAAGGCCATATCCAGATGACAGTTTTACTTTTAAAGTAGTAAACTGAGCTTGTGTACATGGAGCCATGTAATTTGGTTGATGGTCAATAATGAGAGCCAAATACTGATGAGTTGAACATTGGTGTGTCGAAGAAATAACTTAGACCTTCCTATTCAAACCTCACATAACTTGGAAGCATTTACGTTGGTCTCCCTAACATCGACAGAACAGTGTTTAACTGACTGACTGAGTTTGGTTTTACGCCGCTTTTAGCAATATTCCAGCTAACATCACGGCGGGGGAACACCAGAAATGAGCTTCACACATTGTACCCATGTGGGGATTCGAACCCGGGTCTTCGGCATGATTAAGCCAACGCTTTAACCACTAGGCTACCCCACCGCCCCTAGTGTTTAACTACATCAACAAGTGGGTCCCTTTATTTTCAGCACAACCGTGTCTGACTGCACTCCCACAAATATGCCTAGAGAATAACGTAATTAAACTTGCTCAAACTGCATCTTAGCTGCTGACAGCTCTCCAAAAGGTATGCCTATTTCATGAACACATTAGTTCCAGATAGTTCACTCACCACAAAGTTATGGTTGACTCCATGGACCTGCTGTTCGTGGATCTTCTGATCACAGGATTTCTTGAAGCGTTCACCACACCTGGAACACATGAACTTGGTCTGGTTCTGATGGATCCGTAGTACGTGCTGAGCCAGGAGGTCTCGCCGGACAAAGGAACGCTGACACTCGGGGCACGGATGGCGCACCTCTGGGTGGCTCTCCCGAACATGGCGCTCCACCTTCTGAATGTCAATGTTGGCAAACGCACAGCCTGTTACTTCGCAGCACACCAGTAGCGACTTGTGGTGTTCTACCTGGGACATCGCAGACAACAGACAGATTATAGATTCAGTCAGAATGAGATCTAGCCAGAACCTCCACATCCATCAATACAGAAGATCGTTGTACAGGGGTGAGTGAGTGAGTTTAGTTTTATGCCGCACTCAGCAATATTGCAGCTATATGGCGGCAATCTCTAAATAATCGAGTCTGGACCAGACAATCCAGTGATCAACAGCGTGAGCATCGATCTGTGCAATTGGGAAGCGATGACGTGTCAGCGAGCCCAAATCCCGTTAGTCGCCTCTTACGACAAGCATAGTCGCCTTTTGTGGCAAGCATGGGTTGCTGAAGATCTATTCTACCTGGATCTTCAAAAAAAAAGAGAGAGAGAGAGAGAGAGAGAGAGAGAGAGAGAGAGAGAGAGAGAGTGACTAATGTTTAGAAGGTGTTGCAGAAACCCAGACTTATATCTACTCAGGTCTAGTACTGAACAACCTGCTGATTGCATATAACTATCATAAGAAACCACTACTAATTCTCAATCTGACTGCATAAAACCATGACAACAAACTACAATATCTGACTGCATATACAATGTAGCTATCAGAACTAAACAGGATTAACTAGTCATGAAGTATCTCCTCAGGTTACCAGAGGCATGTGGAATATTATGTATCGTTACACATACTGTATCATGACTCAGGAATAGTAATAATCAAACTTTAGTGATCCCAGTTACCATTCATCAGGAATAGTAATAATCAAACTTTAGTGATCCCAGTGACCATTCATCAGGAATAGTAATAATCAAACTTTAGTGATCCCAGTTACCATTCATCAGGAATAGTAATAATCAAACTTTAGTGATCCCAGTGACCATTCATCAGGAATAGTAATAATCAAACTTTAGTGATCCCAGTTACCATTCATCAGGAATAGTAATAATCAAACTTTAGTGATCCCAGTGACCATTCATCAGGAATAGTAATAATCAAACTTTAGTGATCCCAGTTACCATTCATCAGGAATAGTAATAATCAAACTTTAGTGATCCCAGTTACCATTCATCAGGAATAGTAATAATCAAACTTTAGTGATCCCAGTTACCATTCATCAGGAATAGTAATAATCAAACTTTAGTGATCCCAGTTACCATTCATCAGGAATAGTAATAATCAAACTTTAGTGATCCCAGTTACCATTCATCAGGAATAGTAATAATCAAACTTTAGTGATACCAGTTACCATTCATCAGGAATAGTAATAATCAAACTTTAGTAATCCCAGTTACCATTCATCAGGAATAGTAATAATCAAACTTTAGTGATCCCAGTTACCATTCATCAGGAATAGTAATAATCAAACTTTAGTGATACCAGTTACCATTCATCAGGAATAGTAATAATCAAACTTTAGTGATCCCAGTTACCATTCATCAGGAATAGTAATAATCAAACTTTAGTGATCCCAGTTACCATTCATCAGGAATAGTAATAATCAAACTTTAGTGATCCCAGTTACCATTCATCAGGAATAGTAATAATCAAACTTTAGTGATCCCCTCGGCTTTTGAAAACATGACTGTGTGTATCCTTACTGGAAGAAACTCAAGCAAGATGTACATGACAACTAAATGAGTCTTTGTTTGATACCTGTTGTCGGGTCAAGTTGTGGTACTGCAGCAGATGGTTCTTGAGTGAGGCACGGGAGGCCAGCATTACACCACACTCAATACACTTGACCATGGCAGCCTTCGACAACGTACACTTTGGCCCTGGCATCTTCCGAACCTTGCCCGAGTTCATCATTACAATACTGCCCTTAGACAACCTATTCCTCTTCTTTGGTGGCCTTTTCAATTTCAGTATGCTCCTTTGTCGAATCTTCTTCAGCCTCAGTAGCATGAATGCTAAATGGACAGATCTGTACGAGAAAGTATGTATGTCAAGCTTGCAGAAAGTCCAACCCAGTTCATGAGTGAGTGAGTGAGTGAGTTTAGTTTTATGCCGCGTTTAGCAATATTCCAACAGATATGGGCTTCACACACTGAACCCATGTGGGAAATTGAACCCAGGTCTTCAGCGTAACGAGCAAAAGCTTTAACCACTAGGCTACCCCAACGCCACGTTTAAGACATGTAAGAAGGGTGAACATCAACAATCAATTAACTGATCATAAATTCTTTAAAACGTTTATTTTGACTTCACAAAAATTCTGCATTACCTGGGTTTTTTTGGTCAGATTATTAATCATACCATATCATTTTACGAATTCTATGTGAAAAAAGAGCAAAACTTAACAAACTATGATCAATCACATTTCATCTATTATTGACAGTTTGCCTCAAAACAACTGACAGTGGTTTGACCTGATTAAGAAGTGATCGCCATCAGTAATACTAGGTATAATGATAAGTGAAAGAAAACAAGAAATGAGAGTTGCAATTCATCAACACTGTACTGTTAGTAATTTGTACTACACTGTACCCGTGAAGATTCAGGTTAGAATTGATCTTCAGTAACCTATAGAATTGATCTTCAGTAACCAATGCTTGTCGTAAGAGGCAAATAGCGGGATCGGGTGGTCAGGCTCGTTGATTTGGTCGACATGTCATTGTGTCCCAATTGCATAGATTGATGCTCATGCTGTTGATCACTGGATTGTATGGTCCAGACTTGATTATTTACAGACCACCGCCATATAGTTGGAATATTGCTGAGTGCGGCATTAAACTAAACTCACTCACTCTACTACACTGAGTTTGACAGAAACAATCCATGTCCAGTATGTCAACTATACACTTAAAACAATTGGTGTTCTATAATGCTATACAAAACTGAAATTTAAAAGCTGTAGTTTGTTGGCTAGGGTGTAAGCTCCTACCTGTAATGCAGTCTCCATCGACTGTACATGGAGAAGCTCTCCTGACAACGGCAGCACTGCCAGGTCTTCTTGTCGTAGTCATGATGGCACATGGAGGAGGAGGCCTCGAATGCCCATCTGGTACATCGGCTGGTCAGGTACCTCAGGGAGATCTTTTTAGATAATGGCTGAAAAGACAGTTCCATCTGCCTTGAAGAAACCTTATTTTTTCTTCTTTGGGACTGGAATCTAGACGGATCAAATCTCTTTGGGGGTCGCTTTGTTCTACTTGGTCGCTTACTTTTTAAACTAACATTTTTGGATTTGGACTTAGATCTTGATTTCTTTGATGGCAATTTCACAGCCTTATGATTTGTACCAGAACAGGCTTGTTCATCAGAGGCTTTTTGACCAGTGGAAGAAGGATTTAGTTTTCCAGTGGAATCCTGCCTGTCACATGTGTAAAACTCTTCTAAAGATGATGTAGTCTGCTCAGTGAAAGAGTAAGTGGTTTGCTCATCAATCACATCATGAGTACTGTCTTCACTCCCTAATTCACCATCAGATACTTCCGGAGAGCTGCTGGCATAGCTCAGTCTACTTTGTGAATACAGCTGTAACCTGGAAGACTGTCTCTTGCCTAGTTCTGTAGCCACCCTTTGTCTGACAGGCCGTGTCCTCTTGGAGCAGCCAGATGTTCAGATGTACTACCCTGCACAACCTTTGACAAATTCCTGACAGATCGTCTTGCACTTGACCTTTTATTTACATCTGAGTTTAACACAGAAGGAATGCCAGCATTGGAACCTCGGGCAGATTTACGCTTTGGGACTTCTGCAGCAGCAGCTTTTGCAGTCCTGCTTGTTGTTCTCTTCTTCCGACCCTTTATTGTCTTTGGTGAAGCATCCTCCATGAAATCAACATATTCTTCAGGCTTATTATTCTTCTTCTTTGGACTAGATTTGATAGGCAAGGATTTCTTTTTCTGATCAGAGCTTGTCAATGCATCCCAATCCTGATGGGTATCTTGTAACAATTCTTCATCGGTTGTATATGATTCTTGACCATACTGCTCATCATGATCTTCTGAATCCCACCCAGTGTCAACAGATGAAGTAAACACATCTGTTGAGAGATTTTCTTTTAAAACTCCTAGATCTTCTGAACACCTTTGTGTTATAGATGAGTAGTACTTTGATTTGAAAAGTAAGCTCTCAGCATCCTTAAATTTCAGTTTTATGGCAATGTTTTCTATCTCTTGTATATTTTCTTTTCTGACTGCAAGTTCACCAGTGTATATGAAATCTAAGAGAACACTCAAAATACTGGCGGGTGCATCTGCAAAAGAATACCGATCTCATAAGAATTAGCATTTAAATTATAGAAACTGAGAATCTAAACATAGAGAAGGAACATGGACAAGTTCTTACAACTTGTACAACCCCTATCCAAGAATATTTACAATAACAAAATACATCACAAGCCACTATTTGAAATAAACACAGAGGAAGATTGACAGTAAACAAGGTTTAAAAGGGGCAATACGTCAGTACAAAGGTACAGTGTTAGAAATGTACTGGAATATTTTTGATCTGCTTATATAAAGATGCATATTTTTAAGAAGAATTTCATTACTATGATTGGTAAGGTCTGTAATGCCATTGAAAAAGAATAGATAATGTATTCATATCATTACAGTCACGAAAATTGTGAATGGCTTTAAACATGACTTTTTTAATGCTGTCTGTCTGTATTATGAACACTAGTAGAAATAATGATTACCATATTTGAATGGGGATCTGTACTTAACCCTACGCTATAAAGATCGTAACTTAACCTACTAGCTGTATGACATATTTGTGTATATAGCATATTGGGTTTGCTATTGTGGTAAGAAAAGTACAGTGGAGCTGAGGTATTGGATGTTTTTATGCTAGATTTTAATTTAATAATGAAGTACAGTTTCTTACTACTGAAGATAAATTGTTCCACAATTACATCGCCAATGGGAAAAATGACTCATGAGAAATTTTTATTCTTGTTTTTGGCAAAGAAATGTTGCCTGAGTTTCTTAACCTATAGTGCAGATTCTCTCTTACCTGGCTTATGCTATCTGCCCAATCCTTTACCCTTCTGAGATATTTGTTTAATGATGTTTCAGTTCTGTTCAGGTTTTTAGAAGTCTTGCCTGATATTGAGTAATGCAATCTAGATCATCAGCAGTATCTTATCCTGAAGGATACCAGCTTTGAGTAATCTTGGTTTAGTGTGACTGGCTCTTTCAATGTTTAGGGTTTGATTTTTACATTTCCTGTTTATTGGTCAGAGCAGGGAACCTTTGACATATTTCTTCACACATTTCACAAGCAGTACAACATCCATACACATGTTGACCGTACCAATATTTATGAAAACTGTTGAAGGCAGCAACGAATCCTTTCTAACGAGGGATAACTCTTGCTGGAAATATGCCGAGTTCACTGCCAAGTAGAGATAATGGGCCTGAAACTTGTGTCCATCATTGCTGACTAGCGTCACATCACATAGCGTCTGGTGGTTCCGTAAGTCCTCAAACCGCTGTCGTAAAGTATTTCCGTGCTCAGCCTCTCGCAATGTTTCCATCTCTGGAGAAAGTTAACATAAATAACATAAAACCAAAGCAATAATGGATGAACATATGATAGTTTCATCTGTTCAAAATTAAATGCAAAACTACAAAAATTAAGCATTCACGTCCCTTTCTTTATATATTGTTCCATCTATCACAAATAACTACAAGCGAGTCCGGTATTCCGCGCGTCCGGTAATTCTGTGCAGATGCAATAGTGTACTTCCATATCAAGGTAAACATCGTCTGCTACCACACTTATGCTTGAAATCGGGACATTTCTACAAGGGACTGGCTTTTAATCACTAAAGGTAAGTCCGTAACAGTAATTGACAGATAAATTGACAGTTTTATGAAAATTTGTTTTCTTCAGACTTTTAAACCTTTTTCTTCATTATTCATAATTGGATTTAATATGAAACACTATTCCTATAACACTATAAATCCCAGAATAGACAAAGCTACATAACCTTCTCCTGCAGGTATTGGTCAACTCCATGAGCAAGTCATTCTTGCAAATTGTGTCACAACACTTTTAGTCACTTTCAAATATTTTTCCATCCATTTATTGCAACTGTGACCGCATTTGACAATTAGCAGTGGGCAAGTAGCCACTCTACTAAGGCCCTGCAGTTTGCTGTACTGAGTTGGATCCCTTGAGTTTGAATCTCTGGTTCACATGATTACCGTTCCAAGTTTATCAGCACCTTGCTCATAAGTTTCATAAAAGTGGAAACTGTCAAAGACATGCATCACCTCGGGTTTCGTCACACACAAAGGCTGCACACCGTCACTGATAGACTATTGGAACAAACTCTGCCAAAAGACATTTACGTCATAATATTTTACGGCTGGTTCGGTCAACTTTTCTAGGGGAGGTAATCGCACGTGACATAGATCCAACATCATTCGTACGAATGCATGCAGTGTAAACAGCTCACTATCAAAGAATTTACTGCATGATTGTCGTCTATAGGTACAAGTAACAGACAATGAATATTGAAGCTATTGTCGAAAAGATCTTTGCAAAGTTGATGTGAAACCTGTATTTTCAAAGAAATCGCTGCAGTCTATGTTTTGATTGCATAGAATATTTCAAAATGACAAGAATATTCAGATGTCTACCACCTGAAAACATACATACTTACTTTTTCTGATGTTTGCAATATGTCAAACTAAGATTTGGTTGAATGTTTAATTCCACACGATGGCGGCACATTTCCATCGTTTGAGCGACAGGGTCTGTATTTGAAGCGCCCCCTCCCCGCGCACGCTTGTCTTTCGCACGGGAGGTAATCGATGGTAACCAAGTTTATAAAAGCGGGAAATTAGAAAATAGAAAACTTGGATACAAGACAGCGGCAACAGTACCATGTCTCCATTACAGAAAAACATATTTAATATAAAGACCAAAACATTTTCACATAAGTTTTAATCAGAAACTATATATTATACGGTCTCTGGTTTAATTACTCTGGTATGGTTTTAAACAATGGAAACAACACTCATTTCCATTAAGGGACCGTTCATAATTTATGGCGGGTGGTGTGGGTGATGATGATGATGATTTTAAGCGGGGTCACCCATTTTGTTCTAGGGAGCTAGGGGCGTCATCATGTTTGTACACACGTACTAGGGGGTCAGCAGGGGGGTCACTTATTTTGAACATAAATTTTAAGGGGGGTCATTCACATTGAACATGCTTCTCCATAAAAATCATCATCCCCCCAACCCCTAGCCATAAATTATGAACGGTCCCTAATTCCATGTTAAAAACAACTGCAGTCTACTATGCGATTACATTCTTTGCACAATGATTTGATAGACAAGATATCGCAAAATTAAAACTGATGGTATTAGCATATTCAGGCCACATACCAGACCGTCGCTGAGACCCTGAATATATATATATATAATTTTGATAGAAACAAACAAGTCCTGTTAAACTTAAAGGGAGGCCCTAGCGATAAGGGTGACTGAACCTGTGGAAATAAAGACTTGCTTCATTTAGGGCTTTTGCACTGTAGAAAGGGCTGAGTGGGTGGAAATATAATGCGGTTCAGGGACTGTGAGACAGACTATAGCCACATGCGGTTGCCTCCCTTACAGAGTTCGTTTACACCGTTGGAACGCCGTGCAATAAGCGCCGTAGACTATTCAGGGTCTCCATTTCATCACTGTAACACATTTTCAACACAGTTTATGAATTGAGTTTTTCGTTAGAAACATAACTAAATATAAGTGACAAGATAATGGTTATGTGTAAAACATATTTACATGAATGTCCTCTACATTTACCATTAGACCCGCCTGGTCCAACGGGCGGTGGGGTAGCCTAGGGGTTAAAGCGTTCCCTCGTCACGCCGAAGACCTGTGTTCGATTTCCTCACAATGTGTGAAGCCCATTTCTGGTGTCCCTCATCGTGATATTGCTGGAATATTGCTAAAAGCGGCATAAAACCATACTCACTCACTCACTCATGGCCCAACTGATGCAGTACTATAAGAAATCATACTATATACGGCTGCATGGTCGCCGTGGAATATAATTTTGGACCGAGGGCAAAATGTATTTATTTAAATACCTGACACTTGATCTTATAAATATTTTTATTGGTCAGCAACCCTTTAACGACATTTTAAGTGATATTTCTGAAACATGATAAAATATTCGGTTAAACAATATTTGTTCTATCACTTAATCTGGCTTTTGTGTAACTCACTTACTATTGAGTGAAAAGTGTGAGTCGATTTTTTGCGAAGAGAGAATGAAGTTAACGGAAAGAGAACTTTCATGTCGACAACCCGTCACGTGTACCTCTTCAGTTCAATACACTCTATAGCGACTAACGGGATCGGGTGGTCAGGCTCGCCGCCATATGGCTGGAATATTGCTGAGTGCGGCGTAAAACTAAACTCACTCACTCAATACACTCTACAAAATAACTGGGTGCCGTTGTAGGAAGCGATCTTAACGCATTGGTGAAAGACTTTCTGCACTGGTAGGGCTGAAGTTGCTATGTATACAACGGCACATTTGTCTTACATTCTAGTATGTATTTCTTTATTATGATGAATAGTAATTATTTTATTAGTGTAACGTCTAGAAACGGCAGCAACCGTGTCTCTGTGTACGATTATGTTACACGGAACTGCAGACTGTCCCATATTTTCCTTATGAATAAATTGCCGAAACGGAACATATCACAATGTCAACCTATCCGAATAGAAACGTATAGATGGCAGAACCTTCCGCCGGAACAGAGGTTAACACTTTGCGTTTCTTAAAATTCACTTGAATATCAATAAATGTTTAGATGTCCACAGTGTTGGTACTAAACTACTTTAGTTAGTAGGTACTAAAAGGCGTTGAAAGATGATATTTGCTGTCACTTTGGTGACTATTGTAAACGGCCAAAATGGCCTATGTTACTGATATCACCATTCTTGTCTGTTTATGTAATATATGTATATTTGTATTCTTTTGTACCACCGTGGGTGGTTTTTGAGAAAGAAACTTTGATTGATAATTTGACATGAGAGAAGGTGCAGTGATTAAGTTAATCCTACCTTTGAGATGATAATCTGCACAACTAAATAAATATGTTAACTGTTTCTGAAAAAACCCACCCCAAACAATACCATTGAACGTGTCTTTATGTATCTTAATGGATTATAAGGTTCAAAATATGCCATACGTGTACATGTAGATACACAGACCAACCTCAGCTTTGAAACTTGCCTCTCAGTATCACCAATATCATCATGTGGTGTAACTGCACTGACAGGAGACTAACCGACAAGATGTAAGAAATGGGCGTTCTAACTTCAGGGGCTTGTAACGCAAAAAACTGTCATTGATGGGGTCTTAGTAACACTCCGTCAGTGACAGTATATACCTTAATTGATGTGAGATGTTTGCGGTTCAAGTCCCTGTGGTACTAAATATAACAACCCAATTAACATGTCAATACCGGGTTTGACCAACATATGTGTCGATACTGCAGGAGAGGCATGGAAGACACCATGTAACAGCCAAGAGGGTGTTCCAAATGTCAACGGCAGATATTCTAAACTGAGCTAGCGTTAACCGGCTGGTTCTGTTCCTATTGTAGGCGTCCACCCATTTCATCCCGGACTCGGACTATGTTCGGCACTGAAAGGGTCGGAGGTGCAGATACAGCCGACCATGCAGTGCAGCACTGTTATTGTTTGATCGGCATTCTAGAAGTTGGCGAGTCAGCAATGCAACATACAACTTTATGGATGACAACGTTTTATTTATTGCATCATCGAGTGACCTTTCGATGTCGATTGATAACGATGTAAGAATCTACATCGAAACGTCGCTCTCTGCAATGAACAAGAAGTTATCATCCATAAAGTTTTCTTTATGCACTATAATGTTTCAACATGTACAACCCCAAGGAGGTCATAATCTTGCTGCAAATTGAATTTACATCTATGCATTTGCCTAAATGCTGGAACATGATCTTTAACTGAAACGTCTCAGAAGCTATGCAAGTTGCCATAAACAACGAAACTGAGATGCCAACTCAAAACCATACAATTCCATCCTGGGGCTGGTGACTTTGTTTAACTTAAGTGTTGCTTGAACGTTGTCCTGAACATCCGTGGACCCTTGAAACCTTGCACGACCATCTGGGTTGTCCAGACGAAACCTGGCCTAATCTGGGAACAGTTAACAGCCCTAGTCTTTTCTCCTGAACTACAGATCTACATCAAGCTATGCCTGTTACCTTGAAGGGCCATTGGTGGGACATTGCTGGAGGTGGGACGTGTTGTGCTCCCACAAACATTCTGGTTATGCCACAAATCAGTCTCAACCCAGGAACTGTCCGAGCTGTTAATATGGCAGTTTGGTATGGATTCTGACCAACTGTATATGGTCACGTGGCCAGCCATGAGTGTGGCCCTGTCATAGATGGCGTGTAAGAGATGCTAGTGTGTTCCGAGGAACATAGACACGATATCGCAAAATTAAAACCCGGTGAGCATTAGCATATTCAGGCCACATACCAGACCGTCGCTTGAACCCTGAATATATATATATATATATAATTTTGATAAAGAACAAACAAGTCCTGGTAAGCCAAAGGGAGCCCTAGCGGTAGAATTTGACTGAACCTGTGGGAAATAAAGACTTGCTTCATTTAGGGCTTGCTGCACTGTAGAAGGGCTGAGTGGTTGGAAATATAATGCAGTTCAGGGACTGTAGGACAGACTATAGCCACATGCGGTTGCCTCCCTTACAGAGTTCGTTTGCACCGTTGGAACGCCGTGCAATAAGCGCCGCAGACTATTCAGGGTCTCCATTTCATCACTGTAACACATTTTTCAACACAGTTTATGAATTGGTTTTTCGTTAGAAACACTTAAACTAAATATAAGTGACAAGATAATGGTTATGTATAAAACATATTTACGCTTAGATGTCCTCTACATTTTACCATTAGACCAGCTGATCCAACGGGCGGTGGGGTAGCTTAGGGGGTTAAAGCGTTCCCTCGTCACGCTGAAGACCACCAATGTTCGATTTCCCTCACAATGTGTGAAGCCCATTTCTGGTGTCCCTCATCGTGATATTGCTGGAATATTGCTAAAGCGGCATAAAACCATACTCACTCACTCACTCCTCATCGCCGAACTGATGATGCAGTACTATAAGCATTCAGACTATATATTGCTGCATGGTCGCTTAGGAATATAATTTGTTTTGGACCGAGGAATGGTATTTATTTAAATACCTGACACTTGATCTTATAAATATTTTTATTGGTCAGCAACCCTTTAACGACATTTTAAGTGATATTTCTGAAACATGATAAAATATTCGGTTAAACAATATTTGTTCTATCACTTAATCTGGCTTTTGTGTAACTCACTTACTAGTAGGTGAAAAGTGTGATCCGATTTTTTGCGAAGAGAGAATGAAGTTAGCGGAAGAACTTTCATGTCGACAACCCGTCGTGTACCTCTTCCGGTTAATACACTCTATAGCGACTGTAACGGGATCGGGTGGTCAGGCTCGCCGCCATATATGGCTGGAATATTGCTGAGTGCAGCGTAAAACTAAACTCACTCACTCAATACACTCTACAAAATAACTAGGTGCCGTTGTAGGAAGCGATCTTAACGCATTGGTGAAGACTTTCACTGAGTAGGGCTGAAGTTGCTATGTATACAACGGCACGGTTGTCTTACATTCTGAG